ACCCACCTGTAAGCTCTAGTCCATTAAAGCAATACAAAACACGTACAACTATACACAAGAGTCCCATCTGTGGCTGGCGGATCACTGTGCTCTAGATCTGAAAGAGAAACCTAAGATTCCGCAATTAAGATCTCAAAATGAACACTCGGCATTAATAAATCTTCACCCTGATCAGACCGTTTCAGCCCTCGCTACTGAAGTGTGCGCAACGCTGCAGTCAGACACAGACAAACAAGTCAGCGTGCCCGGAACAAGGCGCTTTTGGGTGAGAAGTTGAGAAATGTTTTCTTCTCCTCCTTCCTGACAGGAACCCACTGCCCATAGGGACTTCCCTTCCTGTCATCTTCTCTTGCCGGGGAGACTGCCGGTTCTTTAACCACTTGGCTTACTGGCTTCTGTAGGACTGGTTTTGCCATTGTATTCTGGAAAACAAAAGAACCACACAAGTTTCCTTTAAAAGTGCTGCCTGAAGAAGGAATGCACCAAGGCCTGTCAGCTTCCACTGGTGAGACAAAGCTTTCAGCTCACAGGAGACCTTATGCCCTCTGAGTATCACCTATGGACACCTGACACAGGACTTGAGGAAACTGCTTTTTCCTTTGTTTGCTTTACTAAAACATGTAGCTTGAATTAAGTTCTGGTGCAAACTACTTCTGGCATACGCTTTCAAGCCTACAGCACAGTAGATACATTTGACATCAGGTAAACATCCATTCTGAACACACTGCTATAGTGATTACAGGGCTCTGCCGCTGAAGGACTGATCCAGCTCCAGGAAACTCATTACTCAATCAGCAAGTTCTTTACCATTATTAAATTTAATTTGGCAACCAATGCTGGGACAAGCCTAGCAGAGTGAGGAAGTACCAGGATTCCACACTGGGAGGCCACACTTACATTAGGACTGAAGGAAATGCTCTTCTGTATAGCTGCTCTCTCTATTCCACTCTTGGTCATGTTTCCTGCTGGTCTTGTGGGTCGCTAGAGAAAGCACACACAGCTTAGGTGGGAGGACACATTATTCAATGCACGTTAAGGCAGTTACTAGAGAGCATGAACTTTCTGGTGGAGTTGCTTCAGATATTTACATCAACAGTAGCTGTAAGCTACTAAATATCCAAACAGATCAAATGTCAAACTCTCTTTGAAAGCATTCAGTGCTTTTCCCCCCAAAGTCCATATCCCAATTCTCTCATGTGATATCCATGCCCCCATTACAGACTTTAAACAGATTCCACCAACTGGAAGCATGGACTGCCCCACAGTGCAGTGGGAGAGCAAGTGGCTTTAAGTTCTGCATATCCATCCTGCAGAGCTTTGAATAACAATAAACTTATCTGCCAGTGATGCAGGCCTCTTCTTCTGTACTCTCAATATCTGGAATATATTGCATATATTATGAACGGGATGCCTGTACGATTTCTCTAAACCCCTCAGTGTATTTACTGCAGCATCTGCTCAATGGGAACAGTTAGTGCAGTTCTGCATTTACGACTAATCAGGTCACACTGTAATGACAGAGCCAAACTAACATCCAGTTTAAGCTGCTCGAGTTTCTCCCTCCCTTAAATTCACAGCAGCTACAGCCCACAAGTCCCTTTATTACCAACAGATTTTCTTCATCATGTCTGGAACCATAGTCATGATTTCTATAAGACAGAAATAAAGTATGTAAAATGCATTTGTGTGCTTTGGTACGTAATTTCTGGGAAACAGTTTGTTGCACATGAAAAACTTTTAACAATTAAAAAGGGCAGAAAGATGTAACTTGAAAAAAAAAAAATCCCCGCACTATTCACTCGGTTTCGTAAGAAGACTCTTGTTCTAGGTCAGAAACACATAAACTAGTCTAATTAATATCCTTTCAGAAGAACAACCCAAAGGAAAAAACTACATTCACCTCTCCTTCCCAACCTGCCACTACTGGAAGCCTGCAGGTACTCAGTGGATCAACCACCTCGCAAGAGTCCACAGTACTTTTGGCTCACAGCAATGTGGTTTCCGGAGCAGTTTTCACCACTCTGGGAAATCTGAAGTTTTTGTTCAACAGTTTCAATTCATAATCACAAACTCCAGAGTTAAAACCGATGAGACATCCATGCAGAGCCAAGTTAAGAAGGGTTTACCTTTTCCTTGAGAACACTCCAGTTCATACTTACCTCAGCTGACTCCCCAGGATCTTCCTGCTTTTGTTTGGTGCTTTTTCTCTCTTTGGGAGGAGTAAACATCTTCAAGCTTGCTGGCAAGATGATGTTATCTGTTCCCAGAGCTTTTGCAGCATTTGCTTTTGCAATTTCCAGGAGTTCCTTTTTGTCTTAAAAAAAAAAAAAAAAAAGTGTCTTCTCTTATGCTTAAATTAATATGTAACTACTCACACAAGCCCCAAAACCTGCAGGTTTACTATCACTGAATCTAAGTAAGCATTAACTGCGATGAATATTCATCAGAACTTGAAATTTAGCTTCAGTTGAAGTCCTAAGAATATGCTCTGAACTACTTTTTTAAAAACATGTACTTATAACCACCCATTGTCACTTTCAATTCTGCTCTGTAAAGCAACTCAACAGACGTAAATTTGCCTGGTTAAAATAAGCTGTAAGCTTTGAGGTTCTTACACAACAAAGGCTCAAAAAAGAAGTACCTTTTGCACTCAAGTGGAGAGGTGACCTACTGCAGGATCTTGATCGTGACCTGCTCCTCCAGCTCCTGTAAATCTCAGGGTATATTGTCCTGCCAAATCCATAATATTTTCTGCATCTAGAACGTGATCTGCTTCTCGAGTATGACCTTCTGTAATAGGATCTTCCACGGGACCAGGACCGGCTGCGGGACCGGTACCTTGGTGGCGAGCGGCGGTATCTGCGGTAGTATCTGACGTGGTACCTGCCACGGTACCGCGCATAGCCACGGGATCTCGACCGGCTTCTGGAATACGAGCGGGAGGATCTTCTGTACCTTCGGGAACTGGTTCTTCCACCCCGTGACCTTGATCTGGAGCGGCTCCAACTCCTGGAGGAAGCTGAAGAGGAACTACTTGAACTGGACCGTGAACTGCAAGATGATCTGCTGGATGACCTTGTGGATGACCTGTCACAACTCCTCCTGGATCTCACAGACGACTCTCTCTTCTTCGGTGAGCTGAGGGTTAAGTCATCCATAAAGCCTGTCATATCCTCAGTCTTCCTCACCACCATTTCCTGCACACAGGTGCTTTCAGAAGCTGGTTCTGGTTTTACTGTTGTTGTGCAATACCCAGTCTCTGTTCCTGTCAAAGGTGGGGAGGGGAAGCTCATAGTTTATGCGCATTAAGGTATTTATACAACCACCACCACCACCATTACAGCACACAGGCAGAAAGTTCCAAGGCTAATTAAACACCAGCAGTTGTCACCCAGTCTATCAGCATGTTTTGCCTGTGACAGTTTAAAGTGTCATCATTTCCTTTCCTATAGTCAGTCTTTCATATGAAATGAAAAAAAGCTTCAGTTTAACCCCTAAGTAGTTCTGTGTGGAATTCTGAGGTTGGTTTGTGTGGGTTTTAACACCCTTCATTCGCTAGGTTACCATAAGTGTTTTGTGAAAAGTTAGTACCTTTTCTCCCCTCTCCCAACAGAATTCCCAAGGTATTGTATTTTCAATCTATCCTAAATGCAGCCTATTACATTTACAATGAAAAACAAGCACTTGCCTTCAGGTCAGTACAAATGGAATAGCTTTATTCTGCAGTTCTATCAGCACCTGCAAGGCACGAAGCAGCCACACCAAGGCCGTGACTGCACATTACAAAACTACACAAAGCTCCGCACGCCCCAGCAGCGAACTGCTATTAAAACCATTCTACTTAACCAGTGAGCAATCCGGGCAATGCCGCAATGGATGTGCCCCTGGTTTTGGATGTAACCCTCGGTGAGGTTACGCATTAATAATTAAAATGGCTGTCCCTCTAGCGGCAGCCATTTCATAGCTACGAAAGTTGCTGCACTCCACCTGAGCTGTCTTACGCCAGGACTATAGCCCTGAGTCATGTCACCATCCACAGCTTGAGGCAGCTTGCTTTATCTCAACGTTTCTATTCAGTGCTCGCTGCAGGCCAAAGCTACCGAACAAACCCTAACGCCTGAAACCTGCACGGTCGGCTGCGTACGGGCCGGTAGGAAGCATTCCCCCTCGCCACTACTGAAGTTAAAGCTTCACTTCTAAGCCAGGACCAAGGTCACAAGCGCTACCAAGGGCACAGCTGAAAGGAAACCCCCCATGAATCCTGATCTCAGAACACGGCACCGCACACACCGGGCACACCACACCTACGTTCCCCACCCGCTCACGGGCACTTACCGCTGGGAGCCGCCGGGCTCTGCTGGTCCTGGTTCCCGGTAGGGTCTAAAGCGCTTCTGCGAGGGAAAGAAACCAAATAACGCTTGTGGACCCCGACAGCGCCGGGGAGACACCCGGGGGGGGGGGGGGGAAGACACCTCCCGCCCGCCCGCCCGCCCCGAGCGAGCGCGGTACCGCTGCGGCCGCCTCACCGGCTCCAGCCACCCGGGCTCCCAATGCACGAGTCCTGCTCGAGCGGCGACGCCTGAGGAGACAGCCCCGCTCCGCGAGTCACCCCCATGGCGGCACGGCCGGGACACGACCCAACCGCTCCGTCCGCAGCGCCTCAGGTCTTCCAGAACGTTCCAGCCCCGCGCTTACGTAACGGGCCGGCCCCCGCCGGCCCCACCGCGCCTGAGCGGCACCGCCCCGCCCGTGACGCTGCCTGTGCGCCTCGCGCATGCGCACTGCTGGCTGGCGGCCGACGGGGAAGCACCGCCCACGGCCGGGCCCGCGCGTAGGTGAGCGGGACCGGGACCGGGACCGGGACTCCCATCCCCGGGCGTAGCTCCGGTTCCCCCCCCCCGGAGCCGCGAACCGGGACCGTCTCCCTAGCGGTTCCTCGGCGGTGGTGCCGGTGCCCAGGCGCTGCCAGCGCCCCCCTCGGAGCGGGCCCCGGTGTGGGCTCTCCGCGGTTCGGAGCCGTTCCGCGCAGCCCCGGAGCTGAAGGAAACGTCCCTTTTCCTCCCGCAGCCCTTCAGAGCGCTGGAAGATGTCCGGGTTTCTGGAGAGCCTGAGGTGCTCGGAGTGCGTTGACTGGGGAGAGAAGCGGAACACGATCGCGTCGGTCGCTGCCGGAGTGCTGGTGCGTGCGGCTGCGCTCGGGCTCTTCGGAGCAGTGAGCTGGGGGTGAGCTAGGAGCTGTTGTCCCTTTGGAGGTAAAAGGAGGAACAGGGAGATGTTCTCCTCCTGTGTAGCGTTAATGACAAAACCCGTTCTGAGTGCTTGCATCCCTGTCTGAGGTTTCGCAGCTTCTACCCGTTTAGTGGCTCCTGGAGCAGGTAAATCTCTGGCTTTGCATTTAACCTTGTTCCTCAGTCCATGGCAAAACCGGTTGTGCTGTCATCAGACTCAGGGTTGGGGTCTAAAGGAATGATTTTCTGTACTAATGCCACTCTTTGCAGAGCTGTCTCGTTAAAACGCTTGTGCCCACATTTGAAGTTGTTGTGCTCTTTTTTCTTTTGAAACAGTTTTTCACAGGTTGGTGGATAATCATAGATGCAGCTGTAAAGTACCCTGAAGTGGAAGACTTCAACCATTCATACCATGCTTGTGGGGTTATAGCCACTCTGGCATTCCTAATGTAAGTGCAATTTCTTCGTGAGAGCTAAAGATTGCAACTTGCTTTGTGCAGTTAATTAGGGAACACGTGGGCTTTAAATGGAGAGGGAACTAAGAATAAAACATCAAGTTATTGTGTCTCATCTGTCTTACATTTATTGATACTTAGAATACGGAACCACTTAAAAAGTTAAATGTTGTACAAGTCCAAGGTTTTGGAGAAATGTTTTTTACTATTTCGAGCTTAATAAAACGATTAAGCTTTAGCCTTATACCCTTAAAAACAAATACATAAGAAATACATGATTTTATCCTTTTTCTATAGGTTTCTGAGAGGTTTCCTATTGCTTTGTAAAGATACTTTTTGTTTTACCCATGTTTACCCAGTTTGATCCTGTTTTGCTCGTGCAGGATCAACGCGGTATCTAATGGCCAAGTGCGGGGTGACAGTTACAGTGAAGGCTGCCTGGGACAAACAGGTACAGAGCTGTGGGCTGTTGGGTAGTGACAGGTCTGGGAAGCCACAGAGCCTTGGAAGAGCCATGAGGGCTGTTCCTTGTGTGACTCCCAAACCAAAGCACCCTGAAAGTCAGGAGTGTCTGGACTCAGACACAGGCACAACACGTCCCCCTGTGGTTTTCAAGGTGCTCGGATCTGGCTGTTCATTGGTTTCATGATGGCTTTTGGATCTCTGATTGCTTCCATGTGGATCCTTTTTGGAGGCTACGTTGTTAAAGGTAAGATATGGTGTGGAATGTGACCTGATCTGGTTCTGAAAGTTTGAAGGTATTTTAAATGATGATGAATTTTAGAACAGTGCACTGGCTTTTGTTTTTCGAAAGGAAGTTGGGTCACTTGAGTACATGTAATAGCCAGCCCTGCCTGTGCCTGAAGCTGCAGTGAATTCCACATTAGTGAGGTGCTTTGGTTTAATGCACACTCTTGTCAGCTCTGGTCTTACTCAAGGGGATTTTCAAAGAAAGCCAAGTGCCCAAGGTGCACAGCAGTGCTAATGTGCACTCCCCTTTTGTACATTGTCACTATACATGACCATACACGTGTACATACTGACACACACATATGTTCCAAACAGGATGTGCAACACGGCGTGATAACTGCAGTCTACATCAGCACTGCATGAGAGGCACATGTTTGGTCAGAGAACAGGACATACTTCTTCTCTTTGGAAAGCTAAATGACTGGGGGGAAGGAGATGACACAAAAAGCCATTGAATTAGCTTTCTAGTGGGGTTAGGCTGATCGTTGTCTTCTGAGAACAGAGTTTGGAGAGGATTTTCTGGAGACATACATGGAGATTTCTTTCTTTTGATAGAAAAACCAGTAGTGTACCCAGGAATAGCTGTGTTCTTCCAGAATGCATTCATCTTTTTTGGGTAAGACAATCTCTTTTTGTTTGTTTCATCTAATTTGTTTTTAATGATAAAAACTGAAACTTGCTGTAATCTGGTTCCTCAAGTCCTGTTTCATAACCAGACAAGTGAATAAACTGCATATCAAGGCAGCAGATATCTGGGGTCTGTCTGCATAGTTTTCATTGCAGGACCAGGAAATGGATTTACAAATACCATAGTTTGCTTCCTGAAATCTTGTATTTAACGTCATAGGTGTTTGATTTGCTCCATGATGTACTCGTATCACTTTATTCTCTTTTAAACAGAGGACTGGTCTTCAAATTTGGTCGCACAGAAGACTTGTGGCAATGAACACGCCTGTGGAAGTGCATTGGCCACGCTGGGTTTTTAACTGCACACTCCCAATGTTTTGTAAAGCCATTTTGTAAAGGGTGACCTTCAATTGTGTCTGAAGATAAACCCAGGAAAACTCAAATCATGGCACTAAAAATCCTGGTTCTGTGCTGTTTCATTTTTTACTCTTGTATGCTGATCGCAATGTGTAATGGTTTTGACACATGTAGAATTGCTGCATGTCACAACAGAAGTCACTTTTGTGCTACCATGTTTGCTACAAGTAAATAGTGTAGTGGAAAATGGATGTATTTAACCAGCTGTTTCTACAACATTAATTACAATCTGAGACTTACTAAAAATGCTTTAAAACAACTTTTTAACATCTATTTATTAAATATTTCCTATATCTGGACAATATAACCATTTTTTCCATTTCAAAATTTACTGCTGTGTGCCTTTTCTTGCGTAATACAGAACTATGCTGCTCTGGAATTCCCCCACACACACACTATGGCAGTAATGGGGAAGTCTCTGGTGAGTAACAACTCACTGTTGCTGTGGATGATGCCGTAGAGGCACAAGTACAAGTTGTGCAGTGGCTCTAGATGGAAGCAGCTCATCCACAGACCTTGCTGTCAGCTCTTTTGCAACCACTGTGAAAAGAGTTCTGTCTTTGGCAGGGAGGACAGTCACTGCCAGAGAGAATGTTGATCCTGTGTCTGCCCCTTCCTATGTATTCACCTGGGTTGCTGCTCAAGAAATAATGATGAAAGAGATGCGGGGAAAAGAGGGTGAATAAATTGCTATTCCTTAGCAGCATTCCTGCTAGAAAACAGCTGTTGCTTTGGCTGCTGGGAAGTGAAGGACACCAGTTGAGCCTGGATTGCACTGTGGCACAGGTAGTAGTGCATAGCATGTTAACTGTGACAAACCAACCATCAAATTGTCATTTTCTTTTATTAGATAAGCATTTTTTAATAAGTTTTTCTGTGTCAGCTATTTTTGGAACAATGAAGACACACCAGGGATCACAATCCATTTAAACACAAGGGTTCACTTGCCCCATCAGGCCTGAGCTCGGCACAGGGTAAACCAGCCCAACATACACCACCCTGGGATTCATATCACCCAGGCCCAAGCACTGTCCCCATAGCCTCCCCTGCTGCCTGCACTTAGGGCAGCCAGAGCCCTTTGGGCACTGTCCCCACACGGACAGGCTGTGCTGAGTTTTACTGCCAATCTGAGTAAGTATCATTGCTGACAAGGGCACCAGCCACAAGCAGAACAATTTCACTCCTTGTCATCTGAGCTTCCAAATAGATAGCTTGAGCCAAAGGATTATAGATTTTTCTTTAAGCTGTCAGATAACTCAAGAGCTCAGTCTGGCAGGATAGAGTTCTGGCCCTGATCCAGCTCGCTCATCAAATCCCTGCTTAACAAGGCCTTCAACAGAATTAATTTAGCTTAAAAACAAGTACTTGCATGCTTCGCTAGAGAAGAATGAGTATGGACACTTGGAAAAATTGTACTTTAACATACTTGCTTTGGCTTTGGGAGCTAAAAATAGTGTAAGGTTTCCAAGCATTTTGATTGATAAGCCATTACAGCGATGAATGCAGCCAACTTTTTTGTAGCAAAAAATATTTAAGTTCAACAAAGCAGTTTATCTTTCAAGAATAACTAGTACAGTTTATTACTAGTTTTTTAGGTGCCCATTGGGATGGCTTTCTTGAGCCTCGGTCAAATCACTCATCTGGGTTCCTCCATTCAAAATCCAACAGCCAAGTGGGGAAACTGAAAACAAACGTTCTTGTATCAGAACATTATATGCACCAAATCATAATACAAAACAGGCAGTGGAAAACCTTACTGGAAGGTTATTTTCATCCATGCTTTTTTTTGTAATTCAGGTACAACATCACCTTCAGCATTTGAAGGTGCCCAAGGCCTGTGTTGATGCATCAGGCTGAGCACCACCCTGCACCCAGGAAGGCCGAGGGGCTTTCAAAATGTACTGTGAAATGGAATTTTCTTTTCTTTTTCATTTTAATTTCAGATACCCAGAGTTCTTCACCAAGGTGCTCTATGTTCTCCCACACAGTTCATCTGACATTGAAACTTACCTCCCAGTAAAACTGGTCTTCAAAGTACTTGGATACAGGGATGCTCTTGAACAGTCTGAGGTTTAAGATTAAACCTATTTGCAAAAACAATGAATATATACATTAGGGAAAGGGGATGACTGTGTGTAACTGGAGGTTTCTTAGTAACCCACATGCAAATGTAATGTACATCAAATACAAATAACGCTTCAGCAGAGCCCCTTGACTCAAGCTGACCTTAAATACAAAGAAGCTTGCCAGGATCAAGGCTTGTGTTATTAAACATTAATTACTCAAGGTAAAACCCCATTAAACAGCTTGCCAGACTCTAAAAATACATCCAGAATTAGTCTTGCATGAAAAATGCCTGTGTATTTAAAGTAGCGGGGCTCAGAGCACTGCTAGCTTGGGATTTCAGATGGAAACATTTGGACTTCTAAACAATTGGTTAAACACTGTATTTTGAATTCTTCTAGCTGAATGTGTTTTAGAAATCTGCTTGATGAGCTCAACATCTTCATTACACTTGTGGCAGCACAAAGGTTTGAGATGAATTAAAACACACACACAAAATGATTGTAGAGTGTGTTTCACAGCAGTTTTCATCTGCCATTTCTCTTTTATTCAAGATAGAATCAACAGCTACAGAAAAACTGCAGCTGCCAGGATGTCACACGGGGAACACATGAGCCCTGGTGGCCCCAAACCACTCATGACTGCAGCCCTGTGCTTGGCTGGTGCCCGCCAGCTACAGACACTGGGGAACCTGGCAGATTCCTACCCACTGGCCTAAAAAAGTGGCAAGTGCTAGACAGCATTTGTGTCACAGATACCCAAATGTAAAAATAGTTCCACCCTCACGCATCTCCTGTCTGAAATGTGAAGGCAGCTGTTAAGCATCTGTTAAAATAAGCTTTGCCAATGAAGGAATGGTGCTAGTAGGTTATTCGTGCAGAATACATCTTAAATACAGGGCTTTGAAGAGTCCCTGGCTCTTCTCCAAATAATTTACCCATAGAAACACACTTCAGAGCCCCAATTTGGCCTCTCTCTGCAGTGTTGCACTGACATGACAGCAGGTAACATAAGCTGATGTACCCTTTACCCCGAGGACATGAGGAAGGTACCAAAACACCTTTTTCAATACTGACCTGCAATAAGACCTGTTATCAAAGCGACGCTGATGGTCAGGCAGAAGGCACCAACTTGAATCATGACCAAATAACCCATACTGAAAAGCAAAACAAGTGTTTCACTTTTTGAAGTTGACTGATGTATCATTAAGACTGTGAATTAATCTGTATCTCCACAGCATTTTACATCAAAACCTCCCATAACAATTCTGTTCCAGAATCTCTCTGCAGCTGCAGATAGGTGTTTTAAGAAACCCTATCAGATGCCTAACACAGATTTCAGGGGACATATTTTGCCCTTAGAAACCATCATTGTGATAGTAAAATGTCATAATGTCTGTTTTTTCAAGAAGAACACGTAAGGCCCTTATGCTGCACTGTGGTTCCTTTCTGCATAAACTGAGAAAATTGGGGAACTTCTTGTAGGACATGACATGGGGCTGATCTGCAGAAATGAAATGCCAGTGCCAGATCAAAACAGCTACAGAGCATATCCTGAACTGAGCCTTCAGCTTTTGCAGCGGATCCCCCCAGCTGTATTTTCCAGCTCAGTGTCCACACTGGCTTTAGTCCAAGCTGGCATTCTTGCCCCTGACTCAGAGTTCAGTGTCCACAGAGAAGTGCTGATTTCTGCCCCCCATGTTAGCATACAGAGGTGCCCAAAACATGTTACAAAAACCAAACTGAGACTTGGAAGGACACACATCCCCAGCCTTCACCTCCTGTATCTGCCACACTGAACATCAAATGAAGAGGGAGACAGAAAACAGGACCAAAAGCTAGCATGAAAGTTTTGATCCAAAGTCAGCTCAACACTCCAACTCTTTTTTACTGACTTTTTTGGACTTCAGAGATTATCTGACTTCAGAGATTATCTGAAGTTACCTGATATAAAACAATTGATCTGTGATGACCTTCTGTATGTATGAGAACTCTTCTCAGGGCACACTACAATAATGATTAGCTAAGTTTATTACTTAATAGCAAGAATTTATGTACCTTGGTAAATTATTCCAGTTTGTTATTATTAAGAGAATGACCTGGGTGAGAGCTCCAAGCACAGCAGGCATGCCAAAAGTGAAATGAACTCCAGAGGTATCATGAAGCTTGAGAGGATTCAGGCATCTCTGGGAAGAAGAAAAGATTTAACTGATATACAAGAACACAAGTTGATAATAGTGTATCGTCTATTGCAGACCTAGGAAATGAATTTTGGTTTTGCAAGTTGCAGTCCTGCACTGTGCTCAAAAGGCCTCAGTTCTCCCAGCTTTAATCTTTTTGAAAGAGAGGTTTCCCTTGAGGTATCCTGCATTGGAAAAGAAGTTTATATAGTTTATACAAAAAACAATTTCAGGGTTTGAGTACTACCTGTGAACAGTAAGATCCTAATATGGCTATCACACTGGCAAGCAGACCCAAAGCCATTGCAATCCAAGGGTGCTCGATACTGTGTGCTGCATAACCAACAGCGACCCCACCAGCTAGAACTGCACTGTGGATATGAGTCTGTAAAAGCAAAGAACAAAAACATGGAGTGAGAGTTCAGTCCTCACATACAGCAGTCTCTGTATACTGTGAATTATGATCTGAGGATGTAATTTCTAAGTTGCAAGTTCAGTCTTCTGCTTGGGAGGCAAATGACTGTCAGGCTGAAAACCTGGACTTGTTTTTACCAAGTAACTATTATACTTTTAGTGTATTACTGAGAGTCGCAGAAAAATCCCTTTTCCATGCAGTAATTTTTTTCCCATTTCTTACCATTCTGAATTTCCCATCCTTTGTGGTCAGAACAGACAAGGCAAAGGCAGTGACAGCACTCACTGCGAGGCCAAAGTAGGTGTTGTAGATGACTCTCCACTTCTTGTCAGATAGTATAGAATTGAAGCTTGGCCAGAACACCCAGAGAAAGAGAGTGCCTTGGAGACAAAGACAAGCAAATATCATTACCTGCTCTAAACCACAGTGAATGAAGTACTCACTGTCTTTGAAGGGCTCCAGCCCACATTCTGCTTCCTCTGTAACTCACACAATTTAAACAAAGGATAACACCTTATAGAAAGCCCTAAGAGCTACCTGCAGTACCAGCACCTTCCAAGAAACACACCACTGTAATGTCAAACAGACAGGCCAAAGCACAGCTCTGCTGGCATCTGGCTGGTCCTTCACTGGCCTGAAGGTAGGATGCTCTTTTCAAGAACAGTTTTAACATCAGCTTTACCCTATCTATCATCCCCTTAAATGCAGGTTCAGATACAAGTAGGAACAATCCCAGTGTTGATTTCCAAATGATCAGCATCCTGCCTATTATGCACAGGCACCAGGGACCTGCTCCTTCAAAGTTTCTGCCTCTTCTCATGGGACTGTGGGATAACTGTTCAAAAGCAGCTGCAAGACAGAATGAAAGCCACGAAGGAAAACAGTTCACATGGTACAAATCACTATAAAGAAACTCAAAGTGCACTTTGGAATGTCTTTTACCTTGGCTGCCAGTACAACTGGTAGGCTTTGAAGAGAGGATGAACTGGGTTGTAAGACCAGAATCCTCTCTACCCCTACTAGAAGGGTTAGAGACTAATAGCTTGATCTGAGGTTATCACACTTCACCAGCCCTGCCATTCACAGCTTCACTTTCTTGTTCTCTGTGAAAGGGTTATCTACCAAATAGCTACTGCCTGGTATGTGGGTCCAAAAGAACAGTTCACTTTCCTCCCATAAGATCACTGCACGGTGTCACACTTCCATGACCACATAGGCTTCACTAACAACAGGAATGAAAACAGGTTCTTCTGCTTCTCTGACCCGGGCCCTGTTTGTCAGCATTTAGGAATCTGGGCCTCTACAGAAGAAGTACACCGCTTGGCAGGATACGTCTTTCCCTATACGCAGACACACACCCGTAGATCAAATTCCAACCAGCAGAGGGAAGTAGGGGGCCTCACGCTAAGCCAAGTTGGACCACACTGGGGAGCCTGAGCCTCTGCCCGCAGAGCTGCGAACAGCTCCAAGTGCACAAAGTATCTGTTCAGCTTGGGAATAAAACAGTCACACAGTGAGGACCTCAGCACCCTGCACACGGCTCTCAGAAGCAGGATGCAAAAGGGAACTATGAGGAATTTGCCTGCTCAGCTGCTCCTGTCTGCCCATGTTACCTGAGAAATTATTCGAGACGTGGCATTATAATTACTCCAAAGCAAGCACTTGATTGTAGCAAGCTGCACTGAAACTATCACAAAGGTTTAGCAGTGTCTTGATAAGTTATATTAAAACACTGACCTCCACAAATTCTCCACCAAAGCAAGAACTCCAGGGACTCAAACCAGCATCATTTACATTTCTTTTTAACTGGGCAAAGACTAACTTAGAATTAGACTCTCTGGGCCTTTGCAGAAAGATCTTTGTTCAACTGGTGGAAGTTACCAAATTGCTTCTTTAAGAAAAGGACTATAACTCCCATACATTCAGCCTGTCATCACTCTGTTCCTTTCTCATGTGCCTGTCTGTATCGTATTCCCCACCCTTCATCAGGCTTTTATCTTTCCATTTACACTACTAGGCAGGGGCTGCTTTTTTATATCTCTGTACAGCACCTTGCAAAACAAAACTGAGCCTTGGCCCCAGCTGGCAACCATAAGCATTACTGAAATACAAGTAATGATCTCAGTTTTGGTGCACAGGTCCCTACCAATATGCCTAAACAAGCCCAAAGGGGCAAATTTAGCTGGGAGAGGCTGGCATAGCCTTTATGCTCAGCCTGACCAAAGCAAATGAAGCCACAGCCCCTGCAGGAGTGGTTGCGTGCCTGGTAGGAAATACTGTGAGACTCACCAAGGCATTGTCAGAAACCATGAAGCACAGCAACAGCAGCAGTTTTCTATGCTTGGCTGCATTCAGCTGTGCATTTTGGATACAACAGCCTCAGTGTGCTGTGGCCAGCCCCCCAAAACCTTCCTTATGGTCCCACCACAATCTCTTGTTCCTAGTGAGACATTAAAGCAAATGCCTTACCCAACATGGACAATAAATCTGACTTTGGGGTTCTTGCATTCTTATCAGTCCTCGGTGATGGCTCAGGGAAACATGAGGAGATGGCCAGACCAAAGTAGGCTCCAAACAGGTGAACATGCATCATGCTGATACTGTCTGTAACCTGTATCAAGAGAAGACTCATAGAATGATTTGGGTTGGAAAGGACCTTAAGATCATATAGTTCCAAACCTCCTGCAATGGGCAGGGACACCTCACCCTAGACCATGAATCTGTAGTTTATTTGAGGCGACAGGAAGACTTTGATGCAATTCCTGATAGAGTTGCTCATGTAACCTCCCTATAAGCACTTTATTTTCACAGTGCCTCAGTTTATGCACAAGCTATTTATGTGAAATTAACTCAGCTGAACTCAATGCAGCTCATAAACACACAGTTCCACTAACAAACCACCAAAAGGCAACATGCTAAAATCCCAGTGAAATTTTCCCTCATGTGCCTGAAATCGTATTACAGTACCCGCAGGAATGTGTTGTTCATCCATCTGCTCATACGGAAAACTATTAGCTCCAGAACTGTCATCAGAATTAATTGCACAGGGTTAGCCTTCCCAAGAACAGCTCCAGTGGAGATGACCACAGCAGTCAGGCTCATAGCAGCCTCTATTAGCCTGCAATAAGAGAAAGAACAAAAGAATTCTTTAACATGACCACACCAGGGGCAATACAGAAAGAATGACAGTCAAATGTCCTTAAAATTATTCCAATTCTAACATGAGATAATTACCTTGCCAGATGACATTTATTTTGCCTTTGAAGAAGTAAAACAAATAAATCTATCAGCACAGAGCACTGGACACCAAGTACAATGAGCAGGAGGTTGAATCCGGTGGTGCTAAACCCGTATCTTTTCAGAAACATCAGGAAAAAGCCAAATCCAAAAATCATCATGTGGTTGACATCTTGGAAAGCTGCATGACAGAAAGGACCAAGCCAGCAGAGATGTTACTAATTCAGACTGGATTGCTGGTTAAAAACAAATCACAGTTAACTAAGAAGCCTTCAGATAAAAATTCAGGTGCCATTATTATTCAATAAAGAATTCCAGAACTTTCCTTCCAATCCATAAGTAATCAGAAAAACAATTCCCTTGAGCCTGAGTTTATTTTTCACGAAGTGATCAGAATGGATAATAGGGAGGGGACTGAGGGATCAAAAAGCACAACAGAAATGAAGTACTTTCAGCAATGAAACCTGGGCTTTCCTTTTTCCTCAGGTGAACTTAAAGAGCTTTAGTTGGACATTTCAGGGAGAGTTACCATGAATTAGTACTGATTCATTCCTTGAGAGCACTAGGGAAGAAATGAGTTACAAAGAGAAACCCATATGATCTCATCTGCGGAGGGGAACTGAAATAGCTGTAGAAAGAGTTCAATAGGGAAACCAGCACCACTGAATAGAAGGCAGAGGCTGTCCAAGCCCTTGGATTGGTAGGGCTGAAAGCATCCCCCGGGACATGCAAACAGCCATATTCTCATATCCTTGTACTGGCCTGTCCCTTCTGCAAAATATCAAGCTGCTAGGAAGCAGATCTGTATTTTTTGAGCTATAAAACAGGGAGGGTAACACAAGAATGTCACGAGGATTAATCAGCTCTTATTTGCACAACACTGTAAATACATTGCACACTATGGCCATAGCATAATCTGCTAATACATTCCTTTGATCGATGCACAAAATGCTTCTCCAGAATATATTTAAATCCTTAATTCCACTGTATTAAGTTCATTTCTTTACATCAAGCACTCAAATAGAGACCAGTGCCATCCTGAACTCTTACTTTGTAGCCCAACAACCCTTTCGCACACCAAGACCACTTAACACAGAGCAGTGCCTGCCCTAAGGAGTTGGTTGCATTCATAGGGGTCAAGATGACCACAAACAGGCAGCAGAAAACAGACCAGCAATGCCATTTAGTATCACTTAGGTCTTTGTTCAATGTCATTGCCTTGATATAATAAATACACAGCATACAGGGCAAGGTAGGGCACTCAAAGGCCAGTAAACCATTTTACTTCTAATAAATACACAAACCTGCTGGATCCCATCTTTTTTATTAAAAAATAAAAGTAGGCATTAACTCTTCCTTTCACAACAACGTTGCTCATCTTACCTGGGTAAGCCTTAATTAATTTATCGTCATATGGGAACACAAAGTAAAAGAGGGCGATGAAAACAGCTTCCAGAGAAAGGATTAGCCACGGCACGCTGTTTCGGAAGTTGCGGTAACTGGAAGGCATTGTGCACCAGACTACATGAAGCACAAACACAGCAATAATTTTGCCTATAAAAGTGTTCCAGTAACCTCAGACCAATAGAAATGGAAGTTTTGGGGGGCAGGAATAAAAACTCGAGAGAGATAAAAAGGCCAAGAGGCAACAGCAACTAACATTTCCTTATCTGTGGCACAACAGGAGCCCAAACTTACCCCAACCAACATGGACTGAACTCAAGATGTACTTGTGAACATAGACATCTCAAGCTGTCAATGCTGCAGTGCTCCAGGACACCATCATACAGTACTTCAGCTGTTGCAGAGCCTCACAAATCAACTAAACAGTGAGCAAAGAAGAACATGGACTCCTAAGAGTAGAATCTTGGCGTTTATGCATAATTGTTTACTACACTGCTTGTACCCAGCCACCGGGAGCGCTCTGAAGGCTCTCGGTAAGCCGCAGGCTGGGAAGTCACCGTTCAGAACCAAACTGAGAACAAACCACAGACCTGCACCTTCCCGATTCTTTAATTCAAACCCAGCCTTCATCCAGAAGTGTATCAACTTCTGCATTGTGGCTATAAGGTACTTTTGGAAAGGCACAGCTTTTGTTTAGCTGTTATTTTAAACCAGGAGCCACTAGAGCAAGGAGGGCTGTATGGTGGAAGTTAACTATGTCCAGTATATCCCTATGCACAGACATCATGATTTGTTAGATAAGATCATTTGGTTGTTGAGGACAATTTATGAAGCTGTAATAGAATCATAGAATAGTTTGGGTTGGAAAGGACCTTAAGAGCATCCAGTTCCAACCCCCTGTATGGGCAGGGACAGCTCACACTAAACCAGGAAACCCAAGGCTCTGTCCAACCTGGCCTTGAACACTGCCAGGGATGGAGCATTCACAGCTTCCCTGGGTAACCCATTCCAGTGCTTCACCACCCTTACAGTAAAAAACTTCTTCCTTAGATCCAGTCTAAACTTCCCCTGCTTCAGTTTGAACCCGTTACCCCTTGTCCTATCACTACAGTCCCTAATGTCCCTCCCCAGCATCCCTATAGCCCCCTTCAGACACTGGAAGCTGCTCTGAGGTCTCCATACAGCTTCTCTTCTCCAGGCTCAACAGCCCCAACTTTCTCAGCCTGTCTCCATACAGGAGGTGCTCCAGCCCCTGATCATCCTCATGGCCTCCTCTGGACTTGTTCCAACAGTTCCATGTCCTTTTTATATATTTATTTTATTTTATATATATATTTACTTATATTTTAATATATTTTATATATGTATTTATATCTTTTAATGGGAACATTACTATTCTCAGGATTCACTGTGGTTTTGATAAACTGAAGCCTCTTTGTTCATAACTGTAGTTACGCCTCAGACTTTCTGCTTGAGGCCATTTCAAACAGAGTGCTTGCGCGCTGGCGTTTGAGATAGTAACAGTGCACACAGATGAGCAGAAAGCCACCTGCTGGTGACAGAAATATGTATAAGACAAAAACACAGGCGGAAGAATTCCAGTCAGTTTGTATTTCAGGGCATTCCTCCTGCAAACCCAGGCTGGACAGCACAGGAAGAGTCTTCAAGCCACCTGTGAAAGGTTTGCATTTGTGGCAATATCTTGCACCTTCCTCACATGCAATATCAATTTACTTTACCAGCTTTTACTTAGGCCTAACGAAACCCAACATTAACCATCCTTACCCCCTTCTCAGGAGCTCCTAAACAACGTTCCAAGGAGTTTGCTGGACACGCCAAGTGCTGCCCTGGTGTCACAAAAGTCCTGATCATCATTCTTTTGGTGGGATCTCGGGGGCAATTGAGACAGAACCACAGCACCTGGTGAGCTTTCTCCAGACACGAGCGCAGCTGAAACAGCAGTTTAGGAATGGACTGAGCTGATGCAGTGTCTTTGTGTGGTTTATAAATGCAATGTACCCCATCAGCCTTCATCGGTCTCCCGCAAGACTCCTTCCTTTCAGACTCACACCAGGACAGGAATGACCCAAACGCCTTCCATCATTTTGCCACAGTCAAATGAACACAGTAAGCTCTTAGGGCACTTGTCACCAAATCCCGTGACAGTGTTAACACTCGGGGCAGATACACCAAAGGCTATGCATCTGCCAGCGGTGTCCCTTACGTGCCATGCTGTAAACGATGCTCAGACTTCCAGCTTCAGTTCTCCCCCAGACAGGAAGAACCAAGCTCGGTGGTCTCAGACGGGTGAAGCACAAAGTAACCGTCACATTCGAGCTGCGCTACCAACAGCCCGTCCCCATCGACTGAGCTCAGCAGCCGCAGCCTTCCGTGCAGTCCCCTCTGCCCGTTTAATGCCCTATCGGAGCCCACACCCCGCGCAGTGCAAACAGCACCGCAGGACCCTGGTTCGGAGCGGCCCGTTATCCCTCAGGGAGGCCTGGCAGGCGCACGGCTCCCAGCCCAGCTCCGGGCGGCAACGAGAGGTACGCTAGGACCCCTGCTCCGGGCAGCCTTAGGGCAGGCAGGAGCCGCTTTGGCGGCCTCCCTCGGGATCGGGGGCAGCCATTGGCTTCCTCACGGTTTCCCAAAGGGACGCGGGACACGGGACAGGGCTCGGGGCGGGGGCTCCGCCGAGGGAAGCCCCAAAGCCAGGACCCAGCCCCGGAGCCGGCGGCTGAGGTGCGGAGAGAGGGCGGAGCCCCGCCGTGACTCGGCAGCCCACGGCGGCGGGACCCTCCCACCCCGCCCCTCACCTCCCATTGGCTGACACCTGCCCCGCCCAACAGGCCTCCCTTAGGGACTAGCTTCCCATTGGCAGAAGGCTGACACCCCTCATGGCCTCTGATTGGCTCATCGCCAGCCACCGTCCGTCTTTGGGCCGATCAGAGAAAGGGAGGCCAAGTCGCCCCGCCCCTCTCCGCTTCTTGCCTCGCGATTGGGCCGGTCTCTTGTCACTCCGTTGTACGCGTCCTTCATTGGCTAGAGTGGTCCGTCAGTCACTCCGAGGGGTGTTTTCCCCCGCGGTGAGCCGGCAGCACGGGGCCGCGCCGAGCCGCCCCCCGTTACCTTTGCACTTGAGAGCTGGCTTTCGCGGCAGCCCATTTGCCAGCGGGGATGTCAATCAAGTGTGAGGGGCGGCACCTCAGCGTACGGTGACAGAGGGACTCGAACCCTCCTTCTTCCGCTTCCGACTGGATGGCTGAGCTGTCTTTTCATCCCCGATTTGTCTCCTATTGGGAGATTTTGCTGTCGATCACAGCACGGGGCGGGAGCCAGCCAGAAGGACAGTGGGCGGGAGGAGGACAAAGCCCCCTCCGGGATTGGCTCAGGAGCCATCAATTCACGGGTCCCTCTCTTCCACGGGCTTCCAAGGCCTTCAATCAGGGGTGTAGGCGGGCCGATCGATAGCGAGGGGCGGAACCTATCCTCCGATGTCACCATTGGCCTCCCCGGCTGTCCATCTCCCTTTCCCCAATGCCCATTGGTGAAGCTCGCCGTCTTTCCGGCGCGGTGAAGCGCTGGATTGGTCCGCGGCGGGGCGGGCGGGGCGCTGCGCGGCGGCTGCGCGGGGGACGCGGCGGGGAGGGTCTGACCAGGAATTATTGTTATTTCTTTGTTTCGCGGGGAAAAAAAGGGGGAAAAAGAGGGAAAACCGGAGAGGCGCCCGCGAGAGGGACCCCCGCGGGGGCGGATGGTGCTGCCGTGACCGGGCAGCGCGGGGCCGGGGCGCGCGGCGGGGCCGGCCGGGCCGGGCCGCAGGCGGCCGGGAGGATGAAGCGGCGGAGCGCGGACTGCAGCAAGCTGCGGCGGCCGCTCAAGCGGAACCGCATCACCGAGGGCATCTACGGCAGGTACCGAGCGGGGCGGCGGTGGGAGGACAGGAGAGGACGGGGAAAGGGGGGGGGGGAGGAAGGACGCGCCGCCCCGGTCCCCTCGCGCCCCCGTCCCCTCAGCGGCGCCCCGCCCCCCGGCCCTGTCAGCGGGGCCACGCGCGCCATGGCGCCCCGTTCCCCCCCCCCCCCCCCTCCGCTCCCCGGCTTTGCCCCGCCCCGCGGCCTGCCCGCACCGGCCCCCGCCGCCCCCCAGCCAGCGCCGCGCTCCGCCGGGGCCGGGGAGAGGCGGGGGGGAAGCTGCTGGCCAAGGTCCTGCCGGCGCGGCCGGAGGGAGCGGCCCGCAGCTGGTGGGAGCCTTCACATCCCCCTCCCGTGGCCCGTGTGCCGGGGGAGCGCTCCTCGAGGCGCTGCCGCTCGGGTCGGGAAACTCCGTCCTCACGTGGTGGCCGCGGTCCTTGTGCTGTGGTCTCCGCGGCGAGAGACGAGGGATGCGAGCAGGGTCCGGTGTGGGGGATCCTGCAGCACGGGTGGTGGAAACGCAGCCGGTGTCTGAGTCTCCTCTGACCTAGGAAACGAGGAGGGGAACTGTAGTAAAACGAGATCCGTGTTCTTGGCCATGGGTGGTTTGGAATAAGGGCATGCTTTCCAGGTGTTTACATGCAGAATGCACCGAAACAGAGATTCTGAAGCATTTACTTGTTGTGAGTGTATTCAGAGGGTGTTTTAGAGCTCTGCTTCTTGAGTATGCCAAGTTTTACATGAAATGGAGTAATTGTGTATTTCTGAATGAAGAGGAGGTTGGTTTAGTAGAGGCTTTCCAAAGTTACACTGTAATGTCCCATTTCTGTTCCTCGTTTATATATGCAGTGGCTGGAAACTTGAGCAAACTCATATAATGCAGATTTGCATATGGAAATGGATGATAGTGGGCTCTGGCTGTAACAAACCTGTCACAATATACTGCTTATGCTACTTGTAGTGAATCTCCACGTGAGAGTAGAGTAGAGAGTCTGCTGTTGCTTTAGACTCCTGGGTTTTGAGAAAAGGGTGCTTGGAATGTCAAAGAAAAAGCAACCATTGCTTAGAAGTTAATATTTAAGATGAGTGAACTTGGGAAAATAATGAAAATATAAGCAATTCCTTTTATAATTACTTAGTTTTCCAAAGTCATTCAAAATCCTGTGCTCCCTGTTACCTTTGAGGTGACTGGTTGGAAAGGTGGGAGAAGAGGAGGGAAAACCAGGAAAAGACGAGGAGGACACCGGGTGATCAGTGTGTTCAGTGTGGAGAGCTGTTGTATCTCCGTGAACAGCCTACAGACACGTCTGGCTGCTTGTGCTAACTTCTGGAATGCTTAGTTCAGAAGCGGGATTTTAGCCTTTGTTTCACGTGGCATTTGGATCAGCAGAAGTAGTCAGTGACCTCAAAGTATTGTCCCCCAGAAAGAAAAGAGAAGCTAGTGGAAGGCTTTCCTCTTTGGAAGTACGAGCAGAGAGAAGTGCTTCTACATGGGTTTACATGGATTGTGACTCTTTTCCGTGTTTCTTTTGCTCTCCTTTTTTAGTTTTGGGCTTTATTACTTTTTTTCCTCTTTGCCTGTCATAATTCAAGGAGGTTACACCAGGTAGCTTCTGGTATAACTCTAGATTTCTAAGTTTTGTAATTGCTGCAGTTATTTACTCAACTTATCCTAATTGTCACCATCAGCTTACACAAACCCAGTAAACAGAACAATCAGTAGGTAGCATCATAGTGTTACAACCAAGCAGCTGGGCTTGAACAAACAGCATGATTGAGGTACTTAACTCTGGTGGGTTTTCTGTTTGCTTTTTAAGGCAGATGTTCCTATCCTTGCTCCCTCCCCAGGCTTTCAGTGAAGAGCTGTAACAGACGCGTGTGAGTGCAGTTGGGAGCTGCAAAGCTGAAGAGTTTTGGAGCAGGTGAAGCAATGAAGGCATTGGCCTGCAGTAAAGCTCTGGTGGCAGGTTTGCTACGTGTGTAAATCTGAAGCAGAGTGTAAGAAGGAATAGGAAAGAGCTTCTAGTCACAGAACAGAGTTAGAAATGTAATATCCAGGCTTGCACTGAAATACATGAATATTGCATCTCCCTGAATAAGTGATTTTGCCATTGTCTGGAATATCATTTCTAACAAGTTGATCTAAGGGTTCACAGCCTTTCCTATCTGAAATGTTACAGCTGTAGGTCTTTAAAGCCCTTTCCCCAGCATTCACTTCCTAAATCAAATGAGCTGTTTTGTCTCAGGCCTTCAGAAACACTTTCAAAGTTATTCCTGACCAATCTTCCCCACCAGATTTTCAACAGCAGCCTCACTATCCTGTTCTCCTTTAGACTGCTTTTTCCATGCTGCTGGTTTTCCTTCCTTCTGCTTTCTGCCTTCCCTTCCAGTTTAGTTTTACTCCCCATCTCCAGCTCCTTGGGGCTTTGCTCGTGTGTTCTGCTGCTGGGGCCCTGGCTGCCTGTGATGTAGTAGCACCATTTCAAGTGAATGTTGCCACCTCTACCCAAAAAACCCAACAAACCCCAGTCTAACATTATGTGCAAGCATGGTAAGGACTTGTGCTATTTAAAAGTATTGCAGTATCTGTGGAAAGAACGTTACTATAATTAAAACATATCTGTGCTTTCAGTCGAGTTCCAAACCCAACAAACTGGGGGTAGGAATTGAGATCTCTTGTTATTCCACAGTGTGTTCACAACCTTTTTGCCTTTTCAGGTTTTAAGCTATAAGTTGCCATTGTTTTCCGATGTTTGAGCGATGAACATCTACCTTTGACACTGCATGCATTAAAAACTTAATGAAAATATTCATTGCAGCTTGTCAGCAGTTAGGCAATTAAAGTTTACTTGTTGGTGCTTGTTTCTAAGTCTTCCTAGTCCTCATCCTTCATTATTTAAAACCCTTCAGCTTTGTTGCTGCTACTGCTTGTTTGGGCTTTACCGAGTCCTACTGGCACTTGGTACCAATTGTGTATCTAGCTCAGTTGCAAGATGAACTCCACGTGTTAGTGGCTTAATTTATGGTGCCATATCTGCTGTCTTCTGCTGTGTATCCTGGATTTCTTGACAACAGTCCTTGAACACTGCATGTTCCTTTAGAATTAGGATTTTTTTTTTTAGAGCTATATATGTATTGCCCTTTATCCCAGGCCTCACCTGGGCTGGCAGCCAAGTGGGAGGATGTGGCTGTGGTTACTGAGGTACCTGCTGCTGGCATGAAGGCAGCGGGTGCCCCTGGGCATCTCGTGCTGGGCAGCGTTCCCTTTGCTAAGGGATCCTGTGATTCTTTGTGTCCCCT